ATAAATAATTACTATCACTAATGAGCAGCTAAATTACAATTTAGATATTTAAGTACAATGACAAACAAAGCAAATTGCTTACAAAAGCCAAATTCTATCCTGAATTAAACACTAACCTAAATTTACAAGCAAACATGTTTGTTAAATACAATGTACCCATCTTGATTAAAATGGAAAAATTAAGGCAATAGTACCCAATTTGCAACAGTTTAAGGGTCTGGAAAATAATTTATGACATCAATAATATTAAGGCATTTAATATTTTCAGACAGAACATAAGAGTTTGGCCGCATGTCTAAAATAGCCAATACTACTTGGCACAGAAAAATCATTTTTCCTTCTTCCTGTACAGTTGCAAAACATGATGTTAAGCACATTGCAGAAAAAAATAGAAACTTGTCTGATCATGAGAGTCTATCAGGCTAGATTTTCCACTCCATATTTCTGGCTTAGAAAAGGTTAATTATTTTTAAACAAAGTGGGGTTTTTTGGTAGATGCTTACTTTTGAACCTTCTGCTTCTCTTCGTCTTGACAATGTTTAACTGCTTTTTCTTCTTTTTTCTTGTGTGTGTGTGTGTGTGTGTGTGTGTGTGTGTGTGTGTGTAAAAGGGAGGAGAATTTATTGTTCTTTCTTTTCTTCCAACACTCAGGCAGGGTACATGTTAATGTTAAATTTAATTGACCACTTTTTCGTCTTTTTTGTTCACTATTTTTCTTTCTTTTTTTGTTGCTATTAAATGTAGAATGTATGGTTTGTTTCATTTTGTTTGTTTTACTGTTCCGTATTTTATTTTTTTATGCTAAAACAATACATTTAAATGAACTAAGAAGAAATTCTGTGATGCCTGACGGTCTGTTTCTATGTGATGGTAGATGTAACTATTTTGGGATGTGTGGAACAGTGTGTCCTCATATATACTTCCTCCTTAATCAGCTACTGTAGGGATATGAAAAACAGCCTAGAGAGAATACATTTGAAAATATTAACTTTTCCCTGTCCCTACTGGATGATAACATTATGGTGAATATTTCTAATGTTGTAAATATTTGTTTACATTGTATGCTACTCACAGATCCATTACAACGAACCAGTGTAGAAATGTTACAAATAAACAAACCAATGAATACAATGTAGTACATTTACCCTAATGTTTAATATATTGAGAAGTTCTAGAGTGCAATGCCTTCCCTAGAACAGGTTTCTTTTTAAGATCATCAATACCAACTTTAAATTCACATTATGCATTTATCCATAAAAGAGGCATTACAAAGAGTCCAGCAATAGAAGAAATCTATTATTTATTAGATCTCAAAGAGAACAAGCAAATAATCCTTGAACAATTGTTCATTGTTTTCTCTCCAATGTCAATGTCAGTCAACAGAAAATATCAGCCCACACCACTACAAATGTACAGAGAAAGGGAGTTCTAATTGATATAAAATAGTACAAGGGGGGAAAAAACCCAGAGATGTTAAAAAGGTAGCTAAATTATATCACACATTTTCAATCATATATTGATTAAAAAGCTAAAGTTCCCCTTAGAATGCTGTGAATATTTGTGTTTTTATTTAATGTTGAAGCACTGCAGTCATTCTACATGTTGTTCAATCATGCCCAACTCTCCACAATCCCATGGATCACAGCACTCCAGGCTCTCCTGTCCTCCACTGTCTCCCCAGGTCTGCCCAAACCCATGCCCACTACATTGACAACACTCTCTAACAATCTCATTCTCTGCTGTCCTTTTGCCTTCAATCTTTTCAACATCAGGCTCTTTTCCATTGAGTCCTCTCTTCTCATTCTCAAAGTATTTGAGCTTCAGCTTTAGAATCTATCCTTTCAAAGAACAGCCAGTGTTTAATTTCCTTCCTGATTTGATTTCCTTGCAGTCCAAGGGACTCCCAAAAGTCTTCTCTAACACCACAATTTGAAAGCATCAGTTCTTCAATGCTCAGTTTTCCTTGTCCATTTTCACATACATTACTATTGGGAAAACTATCGCTTTGACTATATTTATGTTGGCAAGGTGATGTTTCTGCTTTTTAATATGTTGTCTAGGTTTGCCATAGCTTTCCTCCAAGGGGTAAGTATGTTTTAATTTCATGGCTGCAGTTGCTGTCTGCAGTGATCTTGGAGCCCAAGAAAGTAACATGTCACTACTTCTATTTCTTCTGTTTGCCACGGTGTGATGGGACCAGATGTTATGAACTTAGGTTTTTTTTTTAATGTTGAGTTTTAAGCCAACTTTCACCCTTGTCATTCTACATAAATATCCTCAAGTCAAAAGTCATGCACAACATACCCTGACCCACGGGTGTCAAACTTGTGCCGTCACATTGCCGTCATGTGATATATTGCGATGTTTTTTTCTTTCACGGAGCTGGAGTGGGCGTGGCCTACATGTGACACATCCAGGCCGCAGGCCACCAGTTTGACAGCCCTGCCCTAACTGAAAGACTCCCTCCAAAATATATTTCATATTCCTGCTATCCACCAATGCTTTGTTCTGTCTTTGTTCACCAATATGATACATACATTTTCACATCATAATTTTCACTCCATACCATACTATAATTTTGTATAAACCAGTTGTAGTTTGTAATTGATTTTTTTTATCATCCTCATTTTTGCCAGCCTCAAAATAAGCAGCCATTAATTGATAATGTATCTCTGAAGTTGATTGATAGGGGAATCTAAAAAACAATTGTTAAAGAGTTCTGTGCCTTGCTGCGGCCATGACAAAATCTGCTTCCACCTGCAGCCTGACATTCACTGATTTCCATCCCAAACAAGTTCTTGCTTGATGTCATCTGCATCCCAGTTGCTTGGAAGGAATACAGACAACCTGATTAGTGAATTTAATTATCTTAGATTTGAAGTCAGTCCTCATTCCCCCTTTTTTAACTGTCTGGTTTGGTTTTTGTCTGCTTCTTTATGCAACATGTATTCTTCCTAAGTAATATAGCAGCAAAAGAGCAAGGTTAAGGGAAGGAATACTGCAAACTTTTCAAAAGAAGTAAATAAGCTAATCTGTCACATATCTTCGTTTTGACTGCAGCCTTCTTTTTTTTTAATGTGATAAAACAGAACGGAAGTTCATTGGATGTATCTTATGCAAACAGATAGAATAAAAGATCCAGGATTGTTCTGGGAAGGGACTACACATTTGTCAAAATGTGGCCAAATGTAGTTGGCAAAGATTTATACTACTATAGGGCTGGGAACTATAATTTGGTGAACTTTGGAGGAATGAGGAAGTGCCTTGCCAAAGTTTGGTGATAACAAATGAGGATAGGAATTTTATTTTTTGAGACCTTGGAAAGCTACCAGAAATGCAGAGTTATTCACAGGGAAGTCACAACCTCTCAGACATAAAAACAAGTTTTAAAAAACCAGACCTTGACTTTTTTGATCTTCCCGATACAGGTGAAAGTAAAAAAATTAGAGTATTGTGTAAAAGTTCATTTATTTCAGTAATGCAACTTAAAAGGTGAAACTAATATATGAGATAGACTCATTACATGCAAAGCAAGATAGTTCAAGCTGTGATTTGTCATAATTGTGATGATTATGGCTTACAGCTCATGAAAACCCCACAATCTGATTTTTTCCACAATCTCAGAAAATTAGAATATTGTGAAAAGGTGCATTATTCTGGGCTCAAAGTCTCCCACTCCAATCAGCTAATTAAGCCATAACACCTGCAAAGGGTTATTAAGCCTGTAAATGGTCTGTCAGTCTGGTTCA